CATGATGAAAGGTGGAAACATTGGAAAGCAAATAGTTAAAATATCCGACTAAAGAAGATAACTTCTAACCGAGACGCCGCTCTTAATATACATCCTGGGAAACACTTGGCTTTTATCACCGCCACTACTGTCACACTAACTTAATGAACAGTTGTAAGTTTATAACATGAAATTAAATGAGAAAATAAATCAACCTGTCTCATTTTACACTCTTAAAAACAAAATATCATTTCATAGCCTTGGAGGAGCTTTAAACCGACGCGCAAACCAGGCTGAATTGGGTTAGAGCCCACTAATTAATGGGACCTCTTTATCTTTGGAGTAGAGAATTTTTTCTTCACTAAAGTACATTAATTCTTTTGCAATTTTGGCATGGATTTGTATTTTATCTTGTGTTGCAAGATCATTGCGACATTTAAAATTATAGAGGAGCTTGTGATTTGAGTCGATCAGGCAAGAAAAATCTCTTGTCCTACAATCATAAAGTAGATGAGTAAGGTTGAGCTTTCCTAAAACGGGTTTGTTATGAACAAAGAATACTCTTTCTACTGAAGTAGAAGCTATACTTTACTGGCTTTCTATACTTTTTGCACTTATCTCTACTTTAAAAATACTCGTTAGCATTGTTTCATTTAACCTAAGTTTTGTTAAAAAAATAAAAACCATCGAATATAATTTGCTTTATCCTGAAAATGTATTTCTTTGTGTTTTGTTTGCCACATACCAAATAAATCGTTTTTCAAGATGATGCAAAGTTAAATTTGACAGTAACCATTAGTTATAAAACTAAAAAAAAAAGAAGTATAAGTAAATTATCGTCCAGAATTGTAGAAAAAGTTTCCTTTCATAGGTTAGTGCAGTAAAGCATCTGTACTTAACATGTTTTCCTACATTACTTTTATACTTTGAGTAAAAAGCTTAAGTTGACACTCTAACTTCTACAAAAGTGTTTTTAAACTGTAGGGTTTATATTTGTACTTGAGTAAGTTATACTTTTGACACCTCTGTTAATGAAAATTTTGATTTTTGCTCTTTAAGGTCACTGTTAAGTATGGGGTTGGATCCATAATGGTGTGAACGTATTTCTCTTCAATAGGGGCTGGAAATCTTCTTCTGTATGATGAATGTTTTGATGTTTGCCACCAAAAAAAAAAACCTCAATCATTCTTTTGACAGAATAACGTTCCAAATTAACCAGCAAATCTATAGAAATGGGTCAGTGGAGACTAAATCATATAGCTGCAGAGAAATTGTGCAAAGAGGAAGAGTCAAAGAGAGGATGATGTCATGATTTGTTGGAACAAGGGAAAGATTCAACTACGGTAATAGTTGCACTAGAATGTTTTTTTTTTTTGTTTTTTTTTAATAAAGGTAAAATGAAGGTTTGATTTCTTCTGAAAGCGTTCATCTTTCCCAGGAAGTCGAGTATATAAGGTGCCGGACCACCCATTTTGTGGTTTAAAAAGATATCTGGGTGTTTTAAAACCAATATAAACCACTTTTTTATTTAAACCTTTAAAGTTGCAACTAGAGTTTCCTATTGTCCTTTAAAAAATGGGGGAAAAATGTGTCTAATTAAGATTCAATTTAAATTTTAACAAAAATCAATTCAGACACTTGAAAAGGCAGAAATAAATTCCTAATATCGGAGTAGAAGACAACGGCAGGCCAAGAAGTGTCGCTTATTTAATCACAGCGTTGGCGACCCTAGTTTACAACACAATGGGATTTAAACCAGCATCACATTCTGAACCATTAATGACCTTTATTAATGAACCTTTATATTAACAAGGTCTGTTTTCACCACATGAAACTGTTGAACGTACGACAAAAGACACCGCACATTTTATTTATTCCACATCACTAGAAACCAATAATAAAATATAGTTGTAGTTTGTTTTAAATGCAGTTTTCACAAGAAAAACAGGTGTCGGGTGTAAAAATGACCACGCTTTCATTCACAAGCATCAGTGTTTGATCACAAAGGAAGGATGCAGAGGAGGTCATACAATCAGGTGGGGGTGGGGGTGGGGCATGCCGGCATTTCTCCAAACAGTTGAGGCAGTGAGAAGTTCACATATTTCCTGGTGATTTGTTTTTAGATAGAAAAAGAAATGAATGTGTTAGAAGTTCTCCAAATGCATCTAACAATGCCACCAAGTGGACAGCTGATGTATTATTAGAAAGGTACAAATTCATTATTGGAGAAAAATGCTCCATTAAAACAAAAAAAAAGAATATAAATGTTTCTAGTCTTGGCAGAGCGCCCATAATTTGATTCTCTTACCATCTGGCGGCTGTTTCAGTTTTCATGTCTCATCCCATCAATGAACCATTATTCAGGGGCCATGTTGGCTATTATTAAACATCAGAGGATGCAACTCTGTTTGAAGATTTGCCTTCTTATAAAACCATTGGGTGTTCTTTTTTTGTGCCGTTTCTAGATCAGTAATCACATCTAGGAAGGTGCGAATGACAGTGCAACAAAAGATTTTTTAGTGCTTTCACACAATTCCTCAACAACATGTACCAAACAGGTTTTCACACAGGGAATGCTTCCCAGTTTAAGGTGCGGGCTGAAATATATCCTCTTTTCAGAGCAAACTAATTACACAAGGAAAATATTTTCTTCAAAAGATAAATCATACAATACAATCAAAATGGATAAATAAAATAGCATTAAAATAGTGGTTCAGCCCATTTCCACACAAGGTTAACACATTCATCCTGGTTCTTTGCTATTCCACCACACTTCTGGATTGTTTTAAAAAAAGAAAAGGTTTCCTGATGTAGTTGAAGGACCAGAGTGTTGGAAAAGTGACATTGGCATAAAAGCACAAGTAAAACACTACTGGCAGTTGATTGCATTGAAATTAAGTCGATTAACAGCTGAAGTTGTAAACAGTGATCAACCATAATAGTTGATCGTCATATTTTCGTCTGGATCAAACAAAGAATATGATAGTCTAGGTCGCTTTTCTCCCCCTCTGCTTACAGCAGTTTGTCTAAAAGGTGCTGTATTGTCACTTTCTGTCTGATTTGTGTTGTAAAGTAAAAACAGGAAGCAATTTGGCAATTCCAGCCTTCAACCGACGACAGAACTGGGAATTAGGGGAAGAAAAAAAAAAAATCTAAATTTTAAAAAAGGAAATTTTTTCCCACTCATTCTTTGGCAGTGGTGAAGTGGCATTTTGGCCAAGGCAACATATCAAAAAAGTGCTAAACCTCAAGTAAATGAGCCATTTTAAACCACAGCAGAATACAGTACACTCAACCACAGTATAGGCTGGAATATCCATACCATAAAATCAGACGACGCCTTGCAAAAGTATTCACACGCTTCATACGCTTCTCCAAATTTGGTGACATTACAACATTGGTGAACTTCATTGGGATTTTTTACGAGGGTTTCAGATTCGTTAGGGACCATAAGTCACAAACGTCGTCATGGAGACCAAGGACAGCCGGACAGCACTGAAATCCTTACTGCTAAACACGGCGATGGCAGCAGCATCCTGTGGGTGTGAGTTCTCAATCCTAATAATAAAGCTGCACAATATATCTAATCTCCATCCTCATTTGTAGTAAGAATGATACAATTTTGTTCAATATGACAGGTTTCTATTTTTAACGCCTTTCTTTTTACTTTTGAAAGGCTCTGGCATTTGTAAAGATGGTTTCATGATGGAAAGGAACAAAATATCAGAGAATAGATAATAATCAGTGTTGTCATCACAAAACTCAGCAATAATAAAAGTTAAATGCTTCCCTGAAATCCTTCAGTTCTGCTGGAGGTTTCTTCCCGTTCAAAGGGAGTTTTTCCTCTCCACTGTCACTACAAGCATGCTTAGTATGAGGGATTGTATTTGAGTCAATGAGTCGATGCAATAGACTGGTTTTCCTTAGATAGAAAACTCTGTATCAATTTGACTGTATGATCTGGTTGAACTGTAAAGTGCCTTGAGATGACATGTGTTGTGAATTTGGCGCTATATAAATAAACTGAATTGAATTGAATTCAGCAATGCCTTAAGTTTCTTTTAAGTGCAAAAAAGGTCTCTTCAGTTTACCATAAATATTCGTACCCTAGGCCGGCTTGAAAAATCCAACCTGTACAGAGACGAGGAATGTAGGGAGTTAAGAAAAAAGGCAGACAGGAAAGGAGGAATATAAAGAGGGAGGACACAAGGAAAGACCCAAATAAGAAAAAAAGGCAAGGTAAGGGTAAAAAGAAGGGCCACAAGGAAGGAGACGGGGAAAGGAAGGACACAAGGTGAGACAAAGGCAAATGAAAGAAATTCTGGGACTATAAATACTATTATATATTCCTGTTTTGGTTTTTCATATTTATACCAGCCAGGAAAATACTGAAATCAGATCCCAGACAGCCTCCACTCCCCCAGCAAAAAAATAAATAAATAAAAAAGAAACCACCCTGTTAGAGGATGCTACTCAAAATATTTGAAACCGGGAAGGAGATTCCCTTTCCAGAAAGGTTGAAAGTAAAACCAAGCTGCATTCATCAGCTCAGTTTAAAGCAGACATGTCCTCTGTGACAATGGTTAAATATTGATTTTAGGAAATGCTCTCCCTCTGGTGGGACTGAGTTAATATGAAGACAAAATAAAGAGAACAAGGCAAAGATTTCTCTGTATGTGCTTGAAATGCAACAAAATCCCAATGAAATGCATCAGTGGTTTTAAGGTGACAAAATGTTGAATTAATACATTCTAAAGGCAATGCACTAAACCCTCTACGCATCCAAGGTCTGTTCACCATTCAATGCTGTACACATTGCTATAAATATGGCCACCAATGTGCTCGTCGGTGCTTCACAAGAACATGCATATTAAATAAACGATACTGACTAGAAACCGGATAGGTCGGTGATGCTCCATGGAAAAAAAATGGGAGATGTTGGATAACGGGGAAGAATTTAGGCCAGAAACTGCAAAAAATATCTTTCGAGTCAGGCTCAGGGTGCAACAGTGCAATTACTGTCAAGAGGAAGAGTTGCTCTTGCTGTTGTCGCGAAACAGAGGGGCGGGGCCTGTCCAGGCACGGTAGACCAAGACCAAGCTGAGCGCCAGAGCCCACGTGCGGACGGGAGACAGGAAGAAGGCCGTGGCGCCGTAGGTCTCCAGGAGGAAGTAGCAGGAGTGGGCCTGCCAGCCGAGCAGCAGCAGCATGAGGAGGTGCACCGCCAGAGTCCGACAGCGGCGGCCCGGCCGCACCAAGTGGGATCGCAGGGTGTTGCCGTGGGAACGGTGGTAAAGGCTCCAGCAGAGGTAAAAGGTGAGGGGAATGTTGAAGAACAGCAGCTGATAGAAAGATAATGAGATTACACTAAGTAGTTATCGTCTAATCACACAGGATAGGCATTCACACTTTAAACAATCTAACACACAAGTTTGTTTTAATGGTGGTCTCATGGTGGGATATACCTCCAAAAGTGGCTACAAGGTAAGGTTTTGATACTAAAAAAACAACAAAACAGCAAGCTAAGGGTATTGCTATAAACATTCCGATTGTAGCACACATATAAAAAAAAAACACTTCCTAAGGAGTCTTTACATAAACACAAGAGAGATAGAGAAGTGGTCAATAAAATCAATAGCCTTACTTGAATGACTCCCACAACATAAGTGAGACTTCCTTCCAGGAAATGGCCATCGACGAACACGCCGAAGGCGAAGCAGGCGCCGCTGTGTCCATCTATCAGCTCCCCAACGAACCACGGACCTGACAGGAGGCACGTTAACATCTTATCCTCAGTTACTCAGTTACAGAGAAATACTGAAGAGGTCCTCCGTACAGAACGGCTATACTGAGATTAAGATTTAGGGGATTTTAAAAGGAATTAGCTCTTCTGGGTTTAGTTAAGGGTCATCAGATTAGTAATCCTGGTATCAAGAGGACCTCAATGACTTAGAATATCAACCAAAACCTGATTTCAAATAATGATACACTGATTTGAAAACCTGAGCTGATATTTGTATCTGATAATAATACAGCTGTTATGGATGATAACCAATATTCGACATTATATATTTCCCTATCCTTTGGACAATGTGGAAAAACTGCGCAGAGCTGACATTGCTTCTCTACTTCAGTTAACATCTGATTCCTGGTCAAACAATTTGAGACCAATCAGCTTCCAATGATCTAGTCAGAAATACGTTCATGCCTGCCCTGCTCTACTACCCAGATTGACAACGATCTGACTAAATATGAGTCTGTACTGCGTTTCCAAGAATTGCTAAATATAATATTGATCAACACTCATTATTTTATTACAGGATAATATCTGCATGTAAAGTCTATGGGGCACCATGGGGATCAGAATTAAATGAACACCCAATCTCCAAAATATTACAATAAGCGCCCAAAAGGATACTGTCATATTTATATAAGAGACTTTTAGATCAGAACGAAGTATTTTCAGCAGGAATGCAAATGTGGGATGAGGAATTGCCGACTGCTTCTTTCAAATTGAGTTGGGATAGGACTTGGCAAAATGTTGACAGAGCCTCAAAAAACCCTAATCATTAGGGGTGTAAATAATAATAATTTTGTATCGATGCGTCGATCCAACAGCCGACGATCCAATGCTTCAATACCTCCGCAAGATAATCGATTCATGTTTTTTTTTTCCTCCGGTCTATTTTTATCCATTTGCTCCTGGGCGTAATTCTCCCTCCCGTGCTACGGTGGCGCTAAACCTATTTTGCCCTCCTACCGCGCTTCCTGGTTATACTCTTACAGCAGTGTGTTGCAGTGAGCTTGATGCAGACATTTTTGATTTATGCTCAATATTGAAGCGTGGTCTGTGCTACACGCTGTGGGTCTAGATACGGCCGAGGCGGCGAGGAAGTGGGGGCGAGTTTAGTCCGACGACGGAGGGACATGAGGGCCAAAAAGAGTGGAGATCCAGGAGGAAAAAGGCTCCCAGCGTTCTCGCGCACCTCGCTCTTCTAGCAGGTCAAACTTCACGAGTTGTTTTCCGCAATTTCGGTCATAAAAACAAAACAAGCCGGCCTCCTGTCTGTGGCACTGTCTGCAGTCAGCTACAATTTGGGAGAGGTGCAGCGGAGCGTCTGTGGAGGGGGCGGGACGTCTGGAGCCGAGGTATTGCATTGCACTCATTGCACTGATTATGTGCAGTATTTTTTGATGCAAGGCCTTTCAGAATCTATAACACAGGGGTATTATTATTTTTCAGTGAATGGGGTTTTAATAGGAATAGGTGGAGTGCAACTTTTCTACTTCTGTTATTTGCTGTTGTTTCTCAAATAAAATGCATAAAGATATTACAGCTTTCATTGATTTATTTCAAATTTGAAACATTGTCTAGCCTGTAAGGTGTTTAAAAAAAACAATTAATCGAATCGTATTGTGGTGTATTTTTGAGTATTGAAAATAATCTAATCGTTGGGTCAGGAAATCGATACTGAATCGAATCGCCATGATGGATGTGATTTACACCCCTACTAATCATTGTTACATTCATTGCCACAGAGCATACTTAAAGGAATAGTACACCCAAAACATGATTAGCCTTCATTTTCTACTCACCCCCATGCTGAACAACACTCTGGAGTACTTTTTTGATATCTCAAATGCATCTGGAGATCTGGGAGGCTTCTTGCTGTCTGCTGACATTCAAATAATGGAGGTCCATGGCGCCCGAGGCAGAAAGGTCCATAAAAGTCCACAAAAAACGTGTCAATATTCCTCCATGCTGCTCGTCCAATGTATTCCAAGTGTCCTGAGTGGGTAGCATCCAGAATTTACTCGAAACAAAGTCATTTAGAATGTTTTTAGAGCATAAACAGTAGTGTATAGGATTTGCTAAAAGCGCGTTCACAAGTCGACCGAAACCGCGGCAGACCAAACCAGACGAAAGTGCGCATTCAGCGCGGCAAAGAACTCATGCTCTTCCTCAACACTGAAGTCCTCAGACATTTTTCTTTCGTTGTTTCTTTCTTTGCACAGGTAAACAGCACATTTCTTCTTCTATGCTTGCATTATCGGCAGAGCAGACGCTGAATGCGCACTTTCGTCTGGTTTGGTCTGCCGCGGTTTCCGTAGACTCGTGAACGCGCTTTCAGGAAATCCTATACACTACTGTTTATGCTCTAAAAACATTCTAAATGACTTTGTTTCGAGTAAATTCTGGATGCTACCCACTCAGGACACTTGGAATACATTGGACGAGCAGTATGGAGGAATATTGACACGTTTTTTGTGGACTTTTATGGACCTTTCTGTCTCGGGCACCATAGACCTCCATTATTTGAATGTCAGCAGACAGCAAGAAGCCTCCCAGATCTCCAGATGCATTTGAGATATCAAAAAAGTACTCCAGATTGTTGTTCAGCATGGGGGTGAGTAGAAAATGAAGGGTAATCATGTTTTGGGTGTACTATTCCTTTAATGCTTCATTTTGTCTCCCAGCAACCATGGGCTCTTTTTTAGCTTGTTGTTTGGGAATGTCCAGCGGTTCAGGCATTATAGGTTAAGAGAGGGATGGAAGGGTGGGAGGGAGGCTGGGAGATAAGGAGGGATGGGAAATGAGGTTAAAACTAAATAATTTTGTACATCAAAGTGTTATTGTTTGATCTGTATTTTGAATAACCACAAATGGCTAAAAATGACCACCATCGGCTGGTTAATTATTAACAAAGTTAAACATTTCAAGTCTTGTTTTTTGGGGATTTTAGTGTTAAGTCTTAAAGCTACAGAAAACCCAAGATCAGGTTTCTCAGAGGATGTGATCAATACATTTAGAGGTAAACTACCAAAGTATTAATTTGGATAAAAATAAAATTAAAGATGCAAAAGTCATTACAGAATGAGAAAAAGCAGGTGACCTACCTAACGCTGTACACAGGTTGAACAGCAGCAGAGAGTAGAAGAAAAGGTCCATTTTACTGACCAGGTGGAGGGATAAACATATTTGAGAGGGGAGTGCTGTAAAACAGAGAGAAACCAAAATGAACGTCCAGCTGCTGGTATCATTTATCTCATCGTGTTTTATGGTCATGAATAGATTAGGACCGTCTGCAACAGTTCACCTCTGCTCAAGGGAAACCGGAGGAACCTGAAGGCGAGAAGCACGCCGACGTTCAGCAACATGGTGATTAGGAAGAGGGCTCGGCCCAGGATGTAGTGGTCTGATAGGAGGATGAAGGACTGAGTGAAACCGAAGCTGGGGGTTACGCTGTCCTCCAGGGTGAAGTGCTGCTCCCGAACAGTTGAACGGCCTGCTGAGTCCTGAAGCAATCAAAACACTCAGTAACTTCCAAAGTAAGTCGTTCTGAAAATCATTTAAGCACCCACCTCCACTTTAACTGTGATTGTGTGCAGCCCAACGAGGTAAAGTGACGGATCCCATAGCAGAACATAGAGGGGCCCCCCAGCGGAGCGGCCGGTCCCCAAAGGCTCCCCGTCTATGCTCACATGGACCGCAGTGATTGGAGCCTCTGAGAAGGCCAAGATCCTACAAGTGGCAGAAATCACAATCAGTGGAAATGATTGGAATAAGCTGGAGAAATAAAAATGTTTCCTCCATACTGGAACAGGCTTAAAAACACTAAAGATGATTTTAACACCATGTAATATCATTGCAGTTAAAATCAAACAGGCACCTTATGTGGGTTGATCTCCGTATTCGGTCCAGAGGCTCCACCCCCGGATGAAGGTACTGTGCGTCTTTAGGGTTTGTGATGAGCACTGCAGGCCACCGCTCAAACTGGAGGTCAGAGAAACTCAGCAGGTCATGGTCAAAGGCCAGGACCCTGTACCTGCAGGGACACGTCGGAGGAAGAAGAAAAATAATTAAAACAGCTGAAGGGTTAAAAAGAACAACATGTAGAAATATTCCTGTGATGTCACACACCTGCGGTTGTCCATCCAGTCACCCAGCTCCAGCTCCAGAGTGCCGGAGGGATGGCGGCTGTGGAGGACTGGCATGAGGCCTCCGAGCGTGTGCAGGTGG